TTGAAAAATCTAGTAAATGCGTTAAAAAGATATTTTTGCAATGAATTAAGTAACCAAATTTGCAAAGAGAACATTGATAAACATTTTGAACATCACGGTTAAACGGTTTTACATCTCTCTTCAAGTAGAAAGTGGAAAGGATTTATTTCCATAGTATATTTATTAAACTGGTATTTAAAAGAGTAATGAAAAAATTAAAAACCGTTAAACGATTGTTTATGGTAAAAGCCATTACATCACTAAAACAAAAAGAATACTCAGATAAAACTCATGGATTTTTTTTTCAAAAAAGAAATACCAAACCTAAACAAAATTTTACAAGAAGTTAGAGACAAGGGGTGGTTTTATAAAGGTAGAAACTATGTGGTAAAAAATTAAAACAGTAAAGAAATCTAAATTTAATGTCCGTATATAATTAAATAATTCCAATTTTGAAGTGAAAGAACGTAAATCCAAATTTTTATGCAACTCGGTTGTGACACGGAAAATTACACGGTATCGACGTATTTCACATTCATTTGCATGCCTAAAAGGCGCATATGAAAACCGTTTTAATTTATAAGTGTTTTTCTCAATATATTTTATTACTTACTTGATTTTGTTTATTAAATGTCCAGCATCATCTTGCTGAACATCACTCTTCGAATAAAAGTACAAATATCGGTGTTCCCGCGATATGAATTCACATTTCTTAGTTACTGCTATTATATAACTTTTGTTAACTCTGTGATAACTAGAATATCTTGCATTAAACACAAAATGTACTTACTTCCTATCTATTTTGAGGAGACATATCTAACCACAATATAAATGTCTTATTTCTATTGACGTCTAGAAATTTTAATTTAAGATTAGGCTAAGAAAAGGGAAAATCCCAGCGGTTGGCTGTCTACCATAGTTGAAAAAAACTTATAATAAAGTAAACAATTTGTAATGTATAATGTTATATATTAAATTTTTTTATAAAGGATCCCGGCACTTTATGTAAAGGTGGTTTCAGTTAGTCCTTTTGAATAATACATATTTGTAAAATATACAAAGTTTTAGTAAAGATGTGCACTAACTTCAGGGAGTGATTCTGCATAAAAATAATGACAGTTTGCTATATTATAATCCTTTATTGAGTTGAAATTTTTCTTACAAATTAACGAATTATTTATTGCCCTGAAACTGGTTGAGATATGCAAATGAAATTTGCTCTGTTTTAAGAGTTTTCTATTGCACATTTTTCGACATGCCACTATTTAGGAATTATATATTCATCATTGGCGCGCATACAACTTTTAATAAAAAAGGAGAAAAAGAATCTCATGTCCATTATGCCATAGGTGTCTGAGGAATTTAGGGAATTTAAGAAAATATATCTGAATATGGCCAGGACTCGACTAAGCTAAAATACTTATAAGGAAGCTGTTTTCTGTGATATTTTTTGTTTTACTTAACTTTTCAAATTGTAGCGTGTAAAAGTTTCGTTTAGTTTTATCGTTTAGTTCAAAAACTCAATCATTATTTTATAATTTATAAATAATTTTTTCATACTATATAAGTTTTCAAATAATATGTTACTTCTATTCCTTCTTTCTTCTATTCTTTTTAAAGTTTTTATTTGTTATTCCCCTAAAAAGTTACGTTTTAAGCTACTGTCGATTGGAACATTGTTGCAGTTAAGAATTTACTATTTTGGTTATACCTTTATTACTACTTTGTGTAATGTAATTTACAGGCTTTAATAGTGATGTTTTATAAAAAGTTTTACAATAATATTGTTATAATATGTAATGTATTAACTTATTTTTATCGCGAAAAATGTTTTTTTCACTTCCTGCAATTTTTAAACTGGCGCTTGTAACGCTACTGGTGGGACCCATTCACAATTGATTAAAAAATATCATGAAAGTCATTATAGAAGAAGAACACTACAATCCTTTAAATTCACGTATATCTTATTTTTTTGCCACAAAATAATCTAAATATTTGGGCTGATGTTGTGACTTTGTGGATGTTTTTCTCTATTGGATTATGTATTAACTTGGGTAATATAAAGATTTGGCATATATAAATACCAAAACAATTAAATATATGAGGACACTGTAAAGATATTTTATTTTATAAGCATCATTGACAATTACAAAAGACGCAATACCACAAGAAAAACAAAAAAGTATATCAATGAAGCCAGAATGGCATATGAAGAATCTATTGTAAGTTGCAACGACTCTGAAAAACTGTATAAATATGTTAGGTCTGCTATGTCTTCTTCTCTAGGAAAGTATCCATTCGATTGTTAAAAAACAACGATGAAACGATTTGCCAGAATACGTATGAGGTCGCTAATATTCTTGCAGATACATTTTCTAAAGTCTTTGCTATTGCACCGTGTCAAAATCAGTTTCCTATAATCAGTCATTCAAGTGTTATTCCCAAAATTGATTATATCGATTTTTCACCTGAAATCATTAAGTGCCATATTGACAAAATAAAAAACAACTCATCTCCAGGGCCCGATAAAATTTCTACATTACTTTTGAAAAAATGTTCAGATGACCTCTCTATTCCACTATCACTAATAATGCGTTCATATTTTAATGCACACTCTTTGCCTCGAATTTGAAAGAGTGCCTCGGTGATACCTATATTTGAAAAAGGAAATAAGTTAGATCCCAATAATTATAGACCAATAAATCTTACACTTGTTATTTGTAAAGTTATGGAATCAATTATCACAGTCTCTTGGTGAAAAGTCGATCAACCATGACTAATTTACTAATGAATGGGCTAATGAATGGACAGCAGCATTGGATAAAAACGACCTATAGATGTTATATATTTAGACTTTGCAAAAGCATTTGATCGGGTATCGAGAAGAAAATTGATGTATAAACTAGAACACTTTGGCATTCGCGGACAACTTCTTGAGTGGATTAATGATTTGTTAACAGATCGGGAGTTTTGTGTTGGCAAATCGCTGTCATCTAAAAAACCCATTTTTAAGTGGTGTGCTACAAGGATCTGTTTTAGGTCCACTACCATTTGTGTTGTATTCTAATGATCTTGATGAAAAGAAAGCCACCAGACTATCTTTCAAACGAAGAAGGCCAGATTACCCACAAAGACTTTCTTTGGCAGGGTTATCAACTTTTGAAGCTCGTCGACTCCGTGGTGACTTAATTATCACCTTCCGAATTTTAAAGTTTGGATATGGAAATCTGCAGCACTTGTTTATTTTAGATCATCACAGCAGACTACGTGGACACAGTTTGAAACTGAAGAAGGAATCCTTTACATTGACAAGGCGCCAACATTTTCTGTGTAATCGTATTTTTAGTATATGGAACAATCTCCCAACGGAAATTATAAATTCCCCATCCATAAATTCTTTTAAAAACCAACTAGACTGTTACATGTTTTTAAACTGAATAATACTGTATACAATTTACTAGTTCATAGTTTATTAGCGTAACAAATCATTTTGTAATGTACTATTTCACTTTTCTTGTAAATGGGCTTATGAGTCTTCATGAACCCTGCCGTTATTACTATGTAATAATAATAATAATTTTAATATTTTAAATTGCATTCTTGAAAACTGGAAATAACTACTGGCCTAATTGATGTACAAGTGACTGGTTTCGTCTTAACTAATCAAGGGCCATTACTACTAGCTGAAACTGGTTCGTTTTTGTCAGCTCTATGGTTAATATATAATATTTATTTGTATGTAATTTTGTGATTAATTTAGTTTTTAGGCCAGTTATTTAAAGATTGGGATTTTACCTTAAACAAAGTTCGAAATCGAAGAATCGAAGATAAGAAAGAATGATGAGAAAGCAGAGGAGTTTCAATGCAAATAAAGAAAAACTTATGAAGCAGAGAAATAGGGTGTTGGGGGGCTAATGAAGCTTACTGAAGGGAGAAAACAGTGTAAGAATAATAGAACCACAGAGGATTTGGTGGTACGGTGTGATAGAAGGGCCAAGTTGATTTAAGAGCACTGGAAATAAAGAACTGGACATAGAAACTACTGGATAGAGCAGCTTGGAGACAAATGGTAAATGGTTAACAAAGCCAAACATTGTCAGCACCTGTAAGCAGATGTGTCCAATGGAAAAACCAGTGGACTAATCCACCACAACAAACAGTTCGTCATAACATATCTACAATTTCTTTGGACATATATATATATATATATATATATATATATATATATATATATATATATATATATATTTAGCGAAAGAAATCGGAGGCCGCAACAACAAAATGAACAATGGAAACTGTCTAATAAAACCAATATAATGCTAAAGCAAAGAAGCGAAATGAAAATAAATAGCAACATACAGAGAATACCATACACAGGACTTTGTAAGACAATAAAGAAAAGTATTAAGGAAGACATAAGAAAATACAATGTTCTCCTGAAACATCAAGACGAAGCAGAACTAATCTGACTTGACAATGGCAAGTGTGACAACCAAAATTACTTAACGCGGAGTCAAACCCGGAAAACAACTGAAATCATATATATATATATATATATATATATATATATATATATATATATATATATATATATATTGGACAAATGAAGAAATCTTTTGGTGCCAAAAGGCAATAACTTTCAATTTAACAACTAGTCAGATATTTTGAATAATAGTAAATAATATAAGAATTACCATTAATAAAATTGTTACTATTCGAATTCACGTTTGCTGGACCGTTAAGTGGAAATTTTGAAGAAAAGATTTTTATGTTGTACACTATGTTCTATAAAACTACTCAATACAAAAGAGGAACATATTTTATCTTCTTTATTATTGGACTCCATTAAAAGATAAAGATTAGATTAGATAGACAAAGTTAAATTACCTACCCCAATAAAATAAGAATTTTTGCATACAAAATGCACATGGTATTATTTGATTTGAAAATTAGAAAGATTTATTTTTAAGTTGTTATTAAAAAAACATACTGAGATACTGCAAATAAAAAAAATACTGTACCTTCATCAAAAAAGAGAATTGGCGATGATTTTTTAACTAAAATTATAATTAACAAACTCACGAACACAAACCCAACAACATACCAGGAAATATCTGCACAGTCTGAGTTTTATCGAGTCCAAACACTTGAAAATGGAATGATTACAATTTGATAATCGAACTCAGTGTACCTAATAAATAGTACAATCAACACAAGATAACGATTGATAATAACAGGTTAGTCATTTGCCGTGTACTTATCAAAATATTACGCATATCCATACTCACTCACCATCAGTCTGGTTATTGTATGGCCATGTCAAGAATCCGATGAAACACTATAGGATGGGGCTAAATTACTGTTTATCAGTTTATGTTGAGATACTAATGTAATAAGGTACACTAAAAATTATTTGTTAACCATACCACACTGTTACTAAAGTATATTTCACCAATTTTCAACTGTTTGGATTTATCGCTAGACACCTCGACTGCCAATGGTCCACTTTACTGTACAATACAGCAAAAGAAGTACGAAAGTAAATTGCTCTAGTAAAAAAAATATGAAACAGGTAATTTCTAAATTGAATTAAAAAATCTAAGAAGATTGAGTATAGGTTCAAAATGGAAGACAATAGAGAGTTATTGAAACTGTAAGATGACAGCCACCTTTATTACAGGATCCCTTAATGTAGAATAGAAAATTGTACAATTTTATGGATAAAGCTTAAAAACGTCGACAATAACCATTTAAAATTTACATAAATCGTCAATATCACAAAACAAAATATAATAAAATACACAATCCATTGCAAAATTTAAATAAACTGCAAATTGCGTAAGAAAACCTTACGAACTAATAAGTTAAAGTTTCTGTATGTAATACAGCTGTAATAATTTTTTCTCGGCCAAAGAGAAAAATACAAATAAAATAAAGATAAGATTAGATTAACAGAAAGTTTTGCCTATCAACAACTGATTTTTAAACACTCGCAGGTAAAATCTTTTTACATAGAATTAGAAAGCCCATACTCATTATAATCTTTTCATTGTTTGTATATGACCTAGGATTAAGATATTGTAATTAACCTTTTGTTATAGGAATGAATTATGTATTTGTAATCAAAGGGAAAGCCAGTTTTAAAGCAAAAATTTTAGTTTCTCTGGAAACACTAATGGGGTCTTTTCTTAACGATTGTAAACAAAAAAAAAGCTTTTTATTGGACAGTTTTTTTTGAATGGGAGAATTTATAGTCGATGTATGAGAAAAAGTGGCAGTTGTCATTTGATCATCGAAAAGAAAGGTCGCGTCTTGATAGAGGGTGTGTTCGTGAGTTTGGATACCGGCATTGTGAAAGGAAGTTAGCAGAATTGTGGAAGGAGATTACAAGTCGATGAAAAGATATCCTTGGATCTAAAGGGGGCAGTTTCTGGAATACGTAGGAAATAGTTTGGAGGCACCAAGTTGACAGAAATAGGTCCTTGTGTCATTGAGAAGTAGCTGAGTGTTTGGAGAATTAAATTTCAAGTGTTAATTGTTGGAGAATTGAGTCAGGTGTTTCGTACAGTCGCTGCAGGAGGATTGCAGATACGAAAAGAAAAAAGCCGAGGCGAATAGTGGCAGATCACATTGCTGTGGAGCCTGATCGATTCTGGGTATGGTCCAAATACAATCTACGAAGGAAAGGTCAGTGATTTTCTGTTCAGAATTGAAAATTTTGTAATTGTGAATGAAGTTTGTTGACATCATTGTCGTTATCATTTTAACTCAAGAGTAGACTTCATTTGTAAAATGTTTTAAAGTTTTGTTTATGAAATAAAGTAAATATTGAAAAATTAAAAGATAAAAAGTTTTAAAGGTATTCATTGAAATTGGCTTTAAATTGGTTTTGACTTCAAGAAGACTTAAAGTATTCTTTTTGTGTAAAGTTTATTGTATTCATTTACGCTGATTGATAAGATAACGGCAAAATTTGATAATTGTTTTATTCTTCTTTAAATAAAATAAAGAATACCAATTTTTTGTAAGATACTATTTTTATTATTATCTTTTTTTCTCTATCTCGATAAAGGACAACTAGGAAATCTTTGGACCCGCATAACATAGGTTGATATAAAAAGATTTTTCACCCTGAGAACAATTAAGTTATGTATTTGATTTGCTCAATTAATCAAGTAAAAAAAGTAATAACATAACAATATATATATATATATATATATATATATATATATAAATATAAATATTATAATTATTTATAATTATATATATATATATATATATATATATATATATATATATATATATAATATATAAATATAAATATTATAATTATTTAAGATTATTTAAATAATCTCAACCACTAGTAAGTTGCACTGACGAATTGTGATATTTTGTAAATATTTACATATTTCAAATCATGAATGTGTTGCTTGTGTGAGTCCATATCAAATAGGTAAAGAAATAATAATAAGACTTACTCACAATCAATTTAATTTAACAATCTGACGACCGGTTTCGCTTTCTATAATTTGCAAAGCATCTTCAGGTCGAGATACAAAGTTAAACTAATGCTGCAATAAAATAAACCCAATTAGGGTGGTGTCTCATAAAGATAAAATAAACAAATAAATATAGACTTTGCCAATAGACTTGATAATTGCAAGTCAAAAATTGCACAACCACACAATCGGTACAGCTACTCTTATTCATTGTCACAAAACTGTCTCCTTCATTACATAAATACTCAATAAATAACACACATTCCAAAAATATATCTCTGTTATAAGTGTAAATAATTTAATTAATACAATAGTAAAGAACATCACTTTCATCTGACAAACAACAACAATATACCTATCTCTAATTCATTGGATCAAATCTGTTCTCCTCAAGAACTTCCCGTTTATTGTCAAAACAACTGCAATAGCTCATTAAAGTTCTCCAATCAACAATACATGATTTTTGCAACCATGACCTACCATCCATCAATTAATAGAGTACCGGCATGTAAGTAATGTTTGTTTTGTTTTGTTTTATTTATTTGCTCATTTATTAATTTATTACAACAAAAGATTGCTACTTTATACCAATTGTGGGCCTTACCTTGTCTGTTACTACCTTTTATATATTCAAATTATTCATTTTGAAAACCACAGACATGTAATATTGGCATAATTACTATAATTTGTATGAACTAATTTATTTATTTGTTTATTTTATCTTTATGAGACACCACCCTAATTGGGTTTATTTTATTGCAGCATTAGTTTAACTTTGTATCTCGACCTGAAGATGCTTTGCAAATTATAGAAAGCGAAACCGGTCGTCAGATTGTTAAATTAAATTGATTGTGAGTAAGTCTTATTATTATTTCTTTACCTATTTACATATTTTTTGTATCTATACTACAGTGTCTTCAAAAAGGAATAAAACAATTCCGAAAGCTAGACAAAAAGTCAAAAGAGCGTTTTTTAACATCCCGGCTAACCTTCTGACTGCAGCCCTAATAAACTGGTTGTTTATTGATATCGACAGTCATTAATATCCAGTATTTCTTATAGCATTTGTGGTTGAAAATAGTCTGATTGTGTATTGACTGCGAAAATGGCGAGACGTGTTTTAGATATAAGTCTTAAATAATATCTAAAACCAGCTCTCAAAATATTGTTACACAGATACCAGGTGTAAAAGGTGTTGCAAAAGAAGCCAAAACAATATTGGATTGTTGGAAACTTTTTTCTCGGATGAAATCATTGGATATATTACAGATTGTACCAACGAGAAACTTCAAAAAGTTAGACTCACCAGAAACGCAAAACATTACAGTCCTACAGATTTTGACGAAATGAGTGCATTTGTCGGGTTTTTTCTTGCTGGTGTAAAATAAGCCAAACATTTAAATACTTCAGAACTTTGGAGCACGGACGGAACGGCCCCAGAATACTTGGCTGCTACTATGTCAGAACGCCGTTTTCACTCTTTGGTATAAGCTATTAGGTTTGATGATATTGAATTTAGAGTAAAAGAGTCCACGAAGATCATTTGGCGCCTGTGAGATACGTTACTCCTTCCGGCTCGAGGAGATAAGAATACGGCCGGGGCCAGAAGACCCTGCCTGTCGTAAGAGGCGACTAATGGGCGGATATGAGAGGTGGAGGGCCGTCGTTTGAGGTGTCGGGTTGGTAGAAACGCACAGAGATGTTTAGTCGTCTCAGTCACCGGTCTACATTCCTAGTATCCGAGACGAGCGCCTCGTAGGACCACTCTACTCTCATTTTCCACAAGAGTAGGGTGAGGTTGAACGAGCCGGGTACGTATGCACCTCCTGAAGCCGACACCGCGGAAGGGGGTGTGGTTAGACTCGGCACGTACCCACCTCGGAATGATCTAAGAGTGGTAGAGGAGCGATTCCTCGACGGCGACCTGTCTTCGTGCGAGGTGGTATTCCACCACCTGCGTACCCTTCCGCCTCCGGGGGGGGGGGGGCACTCACGGGAGGGTGGCGTACACAGGTACTACGGGAGAGGTGGAGGAGCAACACGATGTTTCGGCATCGTACCACCTCCAATTGGTGTCGGACCCGTAGGGGCAATGAGAGCGCTAACGGTCGTATGCCGAAAGGCCAGGTAGACCAGGGTCCTGCCAATTAATTTTGGAGGGCACAAAGCTTAGCAATGTGAGATACGTTCTGGATAACTTTGTTGGGAAGTGTTTACTACATTACTAGGTAGGTAGTTACATAACAGTGGATATGAGATGCTTGAGGGTTTCATAGTTCCGCCAGTATATTGCAAATAAACCTGCGAAATATGGCATAAAAATCTAGACTCTCGAATGTTTTATACCCATAACATTGAAATTTATGCAGGTAAACAATTAACTGGTCCATATGAACTAAAGAACAATGCTCATAGTGTTGTAACAGGACTTTTGTTTTCTGGACGAAACGTAACTATGGACAATTACTTTACATCTGTATCTTTGGCTAATGACTTGGTACACAACCACCGAATAACGTTAGTTGGCACATTACATACGTAAGAACAAGCGAGAGGTTCCCCCAGTTTTTTTTTTAGATAATAGTAACAAAACCCAATAGAAATGTGCTAATGCTGTCGACGTTTCACAAAGATGAGAAAATTGATCCAGAAATTGGCGATAC